GGAAAGTCGTCTATTTGACTCTCAAGCTCTAAGCGCAGTCAAATGCACAGGCGTAGCAGAACCAAGGGTCGCGTGTTAGGGGACTCTTTGCTCTGACTGACACTTGTGAATCTGGCTGTGACACTGACCCATACCCCCACTTGTGCCATACCCCCGCATTGCCTAAAAAGGCAAGTCGGGGTTCTCCCTCTCAAGCACCCAGGCCTTGGGGGTGCGGGGACCATGACTCTCTAACCAGAGTGATGGGCCCCCTCGGTCAAGAAGGGGGGATTGGGTCCTCTCTCCCCCACCACCCACCTTTTGCGAGGTCTGCTGACCCCACAACTGTAACCTCAGATCCGAAGCGGACCAGTAAAAGGCCAACACGAGCCTGGAGGGGCAGCTGAAATTTCCGGAAAACGAAAAGTTGAAAGGGAAATTTAACAGTCAGTACAGAAAAACGGACGACTATAAGCCTAGCTGACGCCTTTGTGCTTGTATGAACCTCACCTGCTATCTCGTACCATACTCCAGAAGATACCTGTTGTGCTGAAAAGGGTTGGACCAAGGCCCTTCGTCCTCTCGGGATCTAAGCCCGACCACCGTCAAAGGCAAAGGTAAGGGGAGCTCGCCTCCCCCCCGTCCTCCCCCCTCCCCCCCCCCACCCACTCAAACCAGCGACCCCTAGAAACTGGTCTTGCCTAGCAGGCCTCCGATAGAGACCATTTTTGAAGCAAGCTCTCAAATTAGATCTTCGGCGCGATGCTCCTTGGAAGGCTTGGTCCACAGTGCACCTACACATCACACACCAATCCTTGTTAATCTATTCAAAATTCTCTTCTCTTTTCCTCTCCCCCCCAACACCTTTTTTCTTTTTCTTATAGTCATAGGAAAAAAGTGAAGGGGCTAGACCGAGCCGGCTCCTGAGCAAACAGCAGCAGCAGCACGTGCAGACGCAATCACTGGAGGGCTGGACCGACGGTCCCTCTGACACCTCACAGTTCTGAAGATTGCTATTTTGAATTGAACTTCTTATGTTCTGTCTGCTTTAGGAAAGACCCACTGAGTCTTTTTTGTGCCATGTGCGATGTGGCAAAGTGACTGTCAACAAGGCACTTCTGTTTTTTTTCGGGTTGGGGTTGGAGGCGGGGGGGGG